TGCACCACGACTGGCGCATCGCATAAGGCAGCGAGTCCCGATTTATGGAGAAAAACAGTTTCTTCATTTTTCAAGGACAAAGCAACGAGCGCGTGATCATTCCGCAAAGGCGGTGCGCAATGGAGCTTGCACGTGGCCAAAGCGCCGCCGAGGGCGGTGCAGAACCAAGGCGGGTGGCATTCCTCATCTGTGATGCACGACGTGTATGCCGCTGCGTCGCCGGAGCTGGCGCGGCAACAGTTCCTGGCCGCGGCGAGGGCTGCGGCAAGCGCTCCGCCAGCCGCGTCGCATGCCGTCGTGGCCGCAGAAGCCTGGTCCTGGCAGATCGTCAGGCGCAGTTCGGCCCGCGTCGCCAGTGCAGGGGCCAAAGAAGTTCCGCCGGCTGCGGGGGAAACAGAAAGCCGGGATTCCCCTATGAGGGCTCCCCGGCAGCGTCTGCCAAACGAACCAGGAGCGTTTCGCGGTAGCAAAGAGGTCCCCGCCTGGATCCTTCCTGTCATCTTGCGTTCCCTCCAAGCCATTCTCGCAGGCGCACCGCGCGCACAGCGCGGCCATTCTGGCCCCCGCTGCGCGACCCGCCCGCCGCCCACTAGGACCGACAGCCTCAGGGGGAGTTTGGGCTCGAAGGGGTTCCCCTGCCGCGAAGCTGGGGGGCTTCCCTGCCAGGAGGGCTGGACAGAGATCTCCCCGTGATGCTGGGGCAAAGCATCTAGGCATGGATTGACCTACTTAGGAGGGGGGCGAAGCCTTTCGGATAAGTGTCGATCTGACGCCTGATTGCGCCAGCCAATGATACAGAAGCGCACGTGTCATGGCCTGGTGGTCCGCGTTTGCGGGCTGTGCCATGCACGACCTCCGTGGCTGTCCTCATCGTCTTTGCCTTCTGGGTGTAGCACAGGGGAGGCTGGGCATGTACGTGAGGGCAGCTTTGCGCAGGATAGGGGAAAACGACAGCGAGTGATAGGGCGAGCTGTTGTAAGAGAGAGAGAGGGAGGGAGAGAGAGAGAGAGAGAGAGAGTGAGTGAGAGGGAGAGAGGGAGAGAGAGAAAGAGAGAGAGAGAGAGAGACGGCCGACATCCCAACTGATGTCCGCGCCGCACTCCTCATTGGGCACCGAGCCCATTCTTTGCGCAAGCGGCCCACTTTCGTGCATCCCAACTGATGCTCGGGGGTTGAGTCGGGCTCGGGGTGTCACGTCCCCGCGCTGCTGAAGTGCTCGGCCCACACGGGCTTACTGTTCATTTTCCCCCCTCCCGCCCAACTGCGGGCGGTGCCCGCACCACACTCACTGTGCTCGTTCTTCATTAATCCGCCCTCCCGCCAACTGCGGCTGGGCCACGCACTCGTTCGGTCCCCAACTCCCGAGGCACGTCGCCAGCACGGAGGGAAGGGGGTTCCCTTGCCCCGAAGCTGGGGGGCTTCCCTGCCAGGAGGGCTGGACAAAGATCTCCCCCTGATGCTGGGGCAAAGCACCTAGGCATGGATCGAGGGAATCGTAGCGGTGTCGGTGCATTTTCTTCCTCGGAGCCACCAATTCTCAGAGCACTGAATTGTTTCGTCCCGAAAGAGGTGGGGCGTTCAGTTTCTGAGAACGTGCTCGCCCCCCCTCGGCCTGAAAGGGCGGCGCTACCACGCCCGAGAGACGGTATCTCCCGCCAAAAGGTCCAGGCCATGAGACCCCGGGCAGCCTTGAGCTCTGTGTGGCGGTCTTTCAAGCTTGCGCTACCATGGTTCTGTCCCTCTTGACCGCTTGCTGGGGGCCCGAGTTTAGACTTCGCTAAATTAACGCCCCTACCCTGAGTTAGAAGTGCGTGGTCTGTAAGCCTCCTGGGAGCTTCCAAAGGACAGAAAGCCGCCAAGACGCCGCGCGACACGCGCGATACGCAGGGCGTACCCCGTCAGCCCACAAGAGGGTCAACGCACAGCGCCTCGTAAGCCGGGGTAGGGGCGTTTTTTTGCGTCCTTGACTGAACGCAGTTGGTGTCATCTGCACAATTGTGGCGGGACCTCTCCCGCCAGCAACGGCATGGAGTCGCTAGCGCGTGGTTTCGTGCTCCCATATGGGATTTCACCCAAAACGGCCCAACTGTAGGGTCCGCATGGCGTGCCCGGCGTCGGGTCCTGCACACTCCTCACACGTTTCGTGGCCCCAGTGGAAGCTCCATCGAAGGCCCCAGCGGCAAGATCCGTATGGCGTGCCCGCACCCGAGTCGGCACACCCCTCACACGTTTCGTGGCCGCACAGGGAGCCCCACCGAAGGGCCCAGCGGCATCCGCATAGCGTGCCCGTACCCGGGTCGGTACACCCGCCCCTGATTCGGCACATCCCTCACTCTTCACGTGGCCCTGTAGGGAGCTCCACCGAAGGGCCCAGGGTAGGGACATCTTGGACGCCGCACTCCTTTTGCTGGCCCCCCTCCTCCATCTCACCTGCCTCGCGGTACATGCAGCTGCAAATGGTTGGGTCTCTCGCCCGACAGCCTCCACTCCACCCTGCAGCCGCTGGCGGCGGGTCGAAGGCCACATCGCTGCAACGATCGCGGTGCTAACCTACCTCCCCTGGCGGCATGGTTCCCGTTTTTCTGGGTTGCGTGCAGTGTTGTCGGCCTCTGCTTTTGGGACCGACGAGCGGCTCACGGATGCCGGATACGAGTCCAGCGAGCGGCATCGGCTCCCGCTGCGGTGGCGGACGAAAAACGCCCCACGGGTTCTGACAGTATCCTGGCAGCTCAGATGTCCCAAATCAGATCGTCTCGCTCACCTGGTCGATTCCGTCAGTGTGCTCATGCAGATAGTGACATCGCCAGCTTGCAGCTCTAGGGCTGAATGCACCTCCCCATCTCCACGGGCTACCTTCTTCCTCTCCACGATCTTTGTTGCTTTTTGGGCCGTCTGGGGGTAGAGCATGTCGCTGGATGTACTTGGATGGTGGCTGGATCTGGGGTCGAGCATGCTAAGGTCTGGAGGCCACATGCATACATACATACATACATACATACATACATACATACATACATACATACATACATACATACATACATACATACATACATACATACGTACATACATACATGCATACACGTATATAAGTACTATAGATATATATAGATGGGTGGAATATCGTACGCCGTGGCGTGGGTGCCGTCTTTGTCTCCGCGGGCTTCAGCCCGACCCTCAAGCAGAACTTTCCTCGAGCTGGACTGCCTGCGTTGTTGCAACTGCAAAAACGGAAGGATGGATATGCCATTGCGTACTCAGGTTGTCTGAGTGTGGGAAGATGTTTCCGACGGCCGACGGATGCCAACCAGAGGCCCTCGATGCTGGACTTATTGGTTGTGGTACGCGCAGAAGCATCAAGGCGCCATATGGCAGTCACTCGCACCTGGGGCAAGGCTCACCCCACCCAAGCCCAAATCGAGAATCCAGGACTGCGACCAAGCGGATGGTGTGCTGACAAGGCCACGGAGCGTGTCGCCGGCAGGGTAGCGGGGGCCAGAGCCGTTCCGCCCGTCTTGTGGATATGGCTCTTCGTGGGACTGCCTGTTGGCCGACCAAATTGCACGACGCCTTCGCGCCAAAGCCGCTCAGGGTTGGCCTGTCCGTGCGGCGCAGGAAGGGGGGGGAGGACCACGGGGAGCGTGCGTTTCTCGAGGCTGCGCGCGGCGGCCCGTGACCCGAGCGTGAAACAGCGTGTGGTGACCCATGCTCGGTCCCTCCCGACTTCCATGGTAGAAACACAAAGAAACGATTTCTGGCCTGGCTCGTCTACCGCGTGGACAGGCGCCTCCTGAAAGTCTACACGATCTGAATGTTCTATGGCCGTCCCGCGGCCTTCCTTCCTTTCGCTCCCTGCTCGCCTGCGCCCCCGTGCCTCAATTCGCAGCGGATGCGCCCCGCCGTTTGCTTCTCCGCTTGCTGGGCCCACCTCGCCGCAGACCAACACATTGTCTACCGCGTGGTGATTCTCGCCTCTGTGCCCTCCTCCATGTTGATGAGCTCCGTCCAGATCGCCCTGACCCTCCTCCTGGTCGCTGGGTGTGTTGTGGGGCATCCTCGGGCTGCTGGCTGCCATCCGTCCCATAACCTGCCTGGATGCTGTTCGGGGCGTGCTGGAGCTGCGGCTCAATGACCTGCCCCAGCAAAATCCGACACGAATGCAAGCGCCCCACCGCTGAACGATCGGACGCCAATCCCAGGCTGTAGCGTGGGCTGCCGCCGACATCTGGAATGGCACGTCCTGAGCGTGGGCGAATGGTGTGGCTGTCGCGGCCAAGCCACTACGTGGGACCCGCCGATATCATACTAACAACGGTGCCTCCTCCTCCTCCTCCTCCTCCTCCTTCTCCTCATCATCTTTCCCATCTGGGCTCTGCTGGGTGCAGCGACCTTGCGTGGTCCGCCACACATGGGCTGCTTATCGCTCGACCTCCTTGTGGGGCAGGTGCTGTATTTTTCGGCGAAGTGGGCGGGGCTCTCTCCCCGAGTGCATCTGAGAGTTTTGACCTCCCTTCGAGGTCGCCACGCTCACTTCGGGTAGCTGTCTGCGGGTGTCAAGAAACCCTCCTCCTGCTACCTGCTACTGCTCCTGCTGCTGCTGCTGCTGATTCTCCTCCTCCTCCTTCTCCTCCTCCTACTCGCCCTACTCCTCCTTCTCCCCCTACTCCTTTTCGTCCAGGGTCCTCCCCGAAGTTACATCTAACCCAGCGTGAATTACAAATGACTGTGGGAAACACCCTGTGGGTAACTCACCTCGGATTGTAAGTAACTCCTGGGTGGGGCGGGGACGGGGCGGCGGGGCGGCGGCGGCCGAGTTACTTCCAACTCGGTTGAGTCACGTGCCATCCGGTTGAGTTACCTGTAACTCACCCTGGGTGACAGGTAACTTTGGGGAACACCCTGCCCTCGTCCGACGTCGTCGTCGTCGTCGTCGTCGTCGTCGTCGTCGTCGACGTCGTCCACCTTCCTCGCTTCTTCTCCACCTCCTCCTGACCCAGCCGCTCCTCGAGCGCGCGGACTGCGGCGCGGAGTCCGTGGGGCGAGCGGTCCTGCGGAACCAACGACGGCAGCGAGCCACGGGCGGCGAGCATCCGAACGAACTGGCGGCAACGGTGACCCATCCACATCCCCAGATCTCCGACGTTTTTTTTTTTATATATAAAAACAATTTTAACACGTTTACTTAATTATATATATACATATGTGTGAAACAGTATTATCTGTTTTAATTCATTTTTTGTTATATTTCATTGTATCGTATGTTTCTTCTTCTTCTTCTTCTTCTTCTCCCTCGGTGCTCATGCGCCAGAAATGCTTGGAACACCGTATATGCAAGCCCAACTGCCGCCGTGTGGAGCTGGTTCTTCCAAGCCGTTGGCACTAGAGGCCTCCCAGATGGGTCGGAAGATCGCGCGGAATCGCCGATGCATCGGCGACGTCGGTGATGCACTGGCGCCATCGGCGTGGAGAGAATCGGGATCCACATCAAGCCGTATCTGCAACGCATCGGCGTTGCAGCGCGTTCCTCCAACCCCATCTGCTCGGATCCCCCCCAGGAGACCCAGAAGCCCACCCACGCGGCGGCAACCTCAGGAGGCGCCCAGCAGGCAGGGCGCGGGGGGGGGGGGTCGGGAGGGGGAGAGTCGAGGGGAGGAGGAGCAGAGAAGGGCATGAGAAGGGCGAGGGGGGGGGGCGTTGGCGGCGCGCACGAATGGGGCAGGGGGGAGAGGGGAACGCTCCTTAGAAGCAGCCTGCTTCTTAGAAGGCGCCGGCCATGCATCTCTAGGTAAGGCCCGCGCCTTCTAAGAAGCAGGGGGTGCTTCTGAGAAGCCCCCCCCCTCCCCCTGCCCCCCTCTGCGCGTGGCTGACAGTGGAGAGGTGGAGAGGGAGCCAGGGAGGCGCAAGAGCGGCGGGGGACCGTTGCGCCTGGGGCCTGTGTTCCGGAGATGAAGCCTTGCCATCGCTCGGACGTCCATTCTCTGTGCATTTTTTGGTTTTGTGCGCTTTCTCTTGTGGCTGGATGACCCAGGCGACTCTCCTCGCCTAGCAAAAATGCACACGTCCGAGCGATGCCAAGAAGCTCGCCTCCCCCGCCAGCCCCGCCTCCCCCCATCCCCGAGCCGCGCGCCCCCTCCCCTGCGCAGCCCCCGCCCGCCCTGCCCGCCGCGCCCGGTGCCCCCGCCCGGGGAAGCCTACCGCGGACTTGCCCGCCTGCCGCTCCCGGGCATGCTCGCGCCGTGATGAGATCCCAGACATGAACGCGTCGTAAAAAAAATCACGACGACAATTTTTTCGCTATTTTCGGCCCCTGGGGGCCCTCGCCATTCCCGGGGAGCGTCAAAAAACGACTCCGGATGGAAAGCCGGCCCCAGGGAAAGGGTCGGGACTTCCAGGGACGTCGTACTGAAAACATCAGGGTGTCGCATGTCTGGGATGAGATCGCGACGGGCGGCTTCTGGCCGCTTTCTGACCCCAGAAGCCCTCGCCGGGTCCTGGGGCTGTGAGGAAACGACTCGGGCCGAACACCCGGCCTGGGGGAAAGGGTCGGGACTTCCTTGGACGACGAAAATCAGGACATCGCAGGCCTAGGTCCCGCCTGACACCCGACGACGCGAGAAAATTGCAACATGGTGGAAAATTGCGACCAAAGCTCTACAGACAGTCTTCCTGCGGCATTTTTCAAGCGGGATCGATCTGCGAGGGTCCCAGGGCCCGACGCCAGGCGAATTCGGCTGGCTCGAACGACTTGCGACGCCAGGATCTCAGGGCCCCCGTCCCCCGCCTGTCCGCCGCCCAATCTCCCGCCCATGGCCGCCCGCCTCTGGCACCCCTTTTCGCTACTGGGATGACAGTGGGGGTTTCTAAGTGCATAGGGGGGTTGCAAATGGATGCTAAGGTGGGTTGTATCTGGCCCAACCTGGCTTATAAGTGGGCTACAGATGCCCCACGTAGCTTAGGGGGTTAACGATCCGGGCTAAGTGGCCTGCCGCTGACCGCGCACGCAAGCCCTCCCCTCCATCCCGCCCCAGCCTTCCGCCGCCACCTTGTCTGCCCGTTGTGCAGCACAGCGCAGAGGCTGCAAGGCGCGCGGGCTCCGTGCAGTGATGAGCCTAGTGCGATCCAACCCATGGGCAGTCTCCCTTCTGAGGACGGGCGTGCGGGCAAGGTGTACTCATCACCTGTAGCTTAACTGGGCTTGCTTGATTCGCCTTCAACTCATGCCCAACATGCAAACTAAACGAACGACCGACAATCCACACGGCCCGCTCACGGCAAGCGAAAGCCAGCCAACTAAACGCGCCAAGCCAACGCAAACGCCTAACAGGAAATCGCCACGCCCAAAAAACATCAATGTTCAGACACGTTGAAGGTCAACAACATGTAAATTATGTAAATGAAAAATCTTGTCCGCACAGGTCGGATGCTTGAGCGCGGACGGGATCCGCGGGACACTGGAATCTGTTGGCGGACAACATCGCCGCCGCCAGCGCGATATCATGCGAATGGTGCGCCGGCGCCATCGCTTGCAGATCTTCAATCAACAAGTTACCAGGCTTAGAACAGCTCAGCAGGTTGCGCACTCCCGCTTCTAAGATCTGTGGCTAAAGTGCGAATGCAATGAATGCTTGTCACGGTTCTCAGGTGGTGGTCAAGGTACGAGCAAGCAACGCCAAATGCGGTCAGGCAGAAGGTCCAGGAGGGACGACCGCACCCAAGAGGTTGGACCCCTCCGCTCCAGGGAAGGAATGGCACCGTGGGGCAGCGCTTTTGGACGCCAGGAGGCTGGAGGGGCATGAGAGGTGGTGGTGGTGGTGATCAGGCCTGAGACATTGATCTGGCCGTCTGGATGCCAGAGGCCCGAATCGCCTGGAAGCGAAGAACCAAATCCGGCGTTGAACGATGGCGCAACAGTTCTGTGCGCCCAACAAGCGCCTCACCCACTGCTCCTCCCACTGGATCCACCTGCCTTTTTACCGCGGAATGAGATTGGCATGCAATGAACAGATTCTGAGGGAAAAACGTCCTGGACCTGGGAGCTTTCCCGGTACCAGCTTTTCATCTTGAGTCCTCTTTTGTCGCTCCTGGGGTCCGTGGAGGGCCCCCAGAGCCTGAAAACTGGGAAAGTACTCCAGGACCCGTAGGACCCGCTGGCTTGCTTCACGGTGATGAGACGAGATTGCTCTTTGGAGCTGCGACGACGAGCATTATCGAAAGGTGTGTGCGCGGGTGCGGCAGCCCTGGTCTTTGCTAGCATGACGGTGGGCCCCTGGCCCCCTGCTTTTCTGGCCTGGTGGCCCCAGCTGTCCCGTGCGCTGCGTTCTCAGGGGGGTAGGTGGGGGGGGGGCAGTGGCGCGCGCGATTGCCGGTGACCCCCAAATAGATGCAGCCTTGTCCTCCTCCTCCTCGTCGTCCTCGTCGTCCTCCTCCTCCTCCTCCTGCTGGCATCGGACGGCGTTATCTTTTCCCAGCATGGCTTCCCCGAAGGTGTGGACTCCCCTCCTCCCAGGGGCCGGCTCTCCGTCCCGAGCCGCTCTTGGACGGTCCTGGCGCCCGGCGAGCCCCCGGATGCGAAAGTGGCCAACAGCCTCGGTCGTTTTTTGTTGTAGTGTTTTTTGTTTTTGTTTTTGTTGTTTTTGTTTTTGTTGTTGTTGTTGTTGAACATTATTTATGCTAAAGAATAATTATTGTTGGGCCCCCTGGTGCGCGCCCCCCCTGCGCCGCCTAGGCCGCAGCTACATTTTCATCATTTTCGTGAGGAAGCCTCAGAAAAGAGGGTGTGTACAGGATCCGGTTGTTTTGTTGTAATCCGCTTTCCCTTGCAAAAAACAATAGAAAATGACATTTCTTGTTCTAATATAATCAAATTTCAAGAATCCCTTGCAAAAAATAAGGTAAAGTGGACATTCGCGCGCGCAAGACGAAATCCTTCCAAAACCTTAGTGTTCGCAGCGATTTTAACATAAAAACATCAAAAAACCAATGGTTTTTCAACAAAAAATGTCAAAATCTCATCCCGCGCGCTCTTGCGGATTCGTAGGAAACCCAACACTTTTTAAACATTTCTGTCAAACGGGCTTTTGCGAGCAACTTTTTCGAACTTCTGCAACAACGGTTGCGCACCTGCCAGGGCCATCATCCCTGTCAAATAATACCATGCGGGACACATTCGTTTTTTCTTCGCGCGCGCACGCCGTCGTCGTCGGCCGCGGGGCCCTGAATAGTAGCCACGGTCGTCCGCATGCCACGAAGTGAAGTGTCCGAACGTCATAGGGCGGGAAGCTGGGTGTGGGTGGTGGCGAAGAGTCGTATGGAAATTTGGTAGAGCTTGAACCGGCCCCCCCACAAAGTGGGGGTATCGCCCGCCTCCTATGAAAACCCTGGCACTGGTGAGAACGGAGTGTCCCCAGTCTTAAATGATTGTTGTTGTTGTTGTTGTTGTTGTTTTGTATATATATATATATATATGGAGTTTTGCTTTTATCACATACACGCATATATGTATATGCAGATATATATATATATACATATATATGTCAACGACGCGAGGAGGTTTCGTTTTCGGGCCATAGCGCGGGCCTCCAGCGGCCGTTCGGGACGGATCCAGGCGCCCCCCAGCACGCGCTCGGCGAGGCGCAGCTGCAGGAAATCACACCGCCTTTGCACAACCTGTGGGAACTGACGCAAACGTTCCCAAACCTAGAAACTCGAACCTCGGACTCTAAATCGAATCGAACCGAACTGGCGAACAACCTTCTGCCGTCTCAATCCCCACGACGCGGGGACTTCTTCAGGGATCCGAGAAGGGAGGATGAGGAGGAGCTTGCGGCTGAGGAGGAGGAGAGGGGAGGACGAGGAGGAGGAGGAGGAGCCCACGGCTGAGCAGGAGAGGCGAGGACGAGGAGGACGAGGCGCCCGCGGCCAAGGAGGAGAGGGGAGGACAAGCAGGAGGAGGAGCGGGAGGAGCAGGCGGCGGCGGCGGCGGCGCGGCCCGCCTCGGCGAGGTGCCCGAGCGCAGGATCGGGCGCTGGGGGCCGTCGGCCCCAGGGTCGAGCGGCCTGGGCGTGGTGCCTGCCGCGGCGCCGGCGGCACGAGCCCAGTGCTGCCCGGGCCCTGCCCGCTCTGCCCCGGCCTCGGGCACTTGGCCCCTCGGGGTTTTTAGAAGGCAGATCTGCCGTTCTTACAAAGTAGAACGGTTTTTTGAAGGCAGATCTGCCTTCAAAAAACCGTTCTTACAAGGCAGAACTGCCTTCAAAAAACCGTTCTTACAGAGTAGACCAGTCTTTCCTCCTTGCAGGTAGAGTGCGAATCCAGAGCCAATTTAGGCTCAAGCCTGATGAGCCGCTGATTGCGGCGGAAGCTAGCACCAGCCAAGAGAAGCAGCGAACCTGAAAAAAAGTGGGAAGTGCCTCTTCGCCTCTCACCGCTCCTGGCCGGGCCAGCGCCTTGGCTCGGGGACCAAGCGTACGCGCATCCCTGGCCGAGCCAAGAAGGCGTGGAACTCTGGCCCTGGAAAGGCCTCGTAGATGAGGTCCGGGCAGATGGGATCGGAGGATCGCGCCGCATCGCCGATGCATTGGCGATGCATCGACAACGTCGGCGTTTCATCGGCGACGTCGGCGTGGAGAAAATCGAGATCCACATCGCGCCGCATCTACTCGGACCCCATCTGTGAGGCCTAGATAGGCCAACCTTCGTGTCAGGAGGAGGAGGAGGTGGAGGAGGAGGTGGAGGCGGATCTTTTCTCTCCCACCCCCTCCGTGCCCAAGAAATCTGCAGCGCCGATGGCGATTGGTTCTCTCGTCTCCGCGCTGCGTGCCGCACGTGCTCCGACCTGGTGATGTGATAGCGGCTGGGGGTGCCAATGATGCGGTGGCAAATGCTGGTCAAAGTGGTGGCACGATGACTGAGGCAGCCGCATGCTTTGCTACAACCGGACTCGGCTAGTCAGATAACAGATATGGGGGTTTTCGTTTCATGAATGAATGAGAACCAAGATCTGCACGCAGTACTCTCCGAAATGGCGCGATGACTGCCGCGGAGCTGCAGGCACGCGGCTGCGCCCCGTGCTGCCCCCTGCCCTCTCCTCTGCCCTCCTTGGCTGAAAGCAGCAGCGGTGTAGCTTGGCCAGGCCTGAGCTGGATCGAATCTCGACATTGTATCGGATCGAAAGCGGATGGCATCGCCAACGAATCGTCTCGAATCGAATCGAAATAGGACCACTGCGCCCAACTCCAATTGGCCCTGGCCGATGATGGTGAATTCCAACCGAATCGAATCGAATCGGAATCGCGGACCCAGCCAGCGAATCGACTCGCATCGAATCGGATCGTAGGCGGCCCTGGCGGCGCCGAGTGGTAGGAGACAGCATGGGGATGAAGCGGCAGTGTAGGAGGAAGAGGAGGAGGAGGAGGAGGAGGAGGAGGAGGAGGAGGAGGAGAAGAAGCCACGGGCTGAGGGAGGGCCACCCCCGCCGCGCGCCAGGGGTCGACCGCCGTCGCCCCCTTCGTGCCGCGCCGCGGGCCATCGGGCAGCGGGGGGGGCCCCAGCCTGGGCTCAGGCGCGCAGCCCACCGCAGCGCGGGAGAGGCAGCCGCGAGCCAGGCGGCGCCCTCGGGCGCCCCGCCGCCGCCGAGAGCGGCAGGAGGCGACGCCAGCCCTTGAGAGCGCCTGGCACAGGCAAGCCCGAGAGAAGCGCGCACAGGCGCGGCTTCTCCTGAGGGCTATCAGCGCGAGCAGGCTCCTCGGGGAGCACCACTCAGCCCAGCAGCACCAGCGCCACCAGCAGCAGCCACAGAGTGCGGACGACCAGATGACGCGCAGACGCTCTGAAACGGCTGCCCCGTGGCATCAACACGATAAATGGACCGTGGATAGCTGACAGAAAAGCGCACCGTGGAGATCCTCGTACCGACAGGCGTCACGGGCAACTTCGCGAAAGAGAGGCCCCCGACCGCCAGCATCAGAGTACCAGAGCGGCTCAACGGACAGCAGACAACAGCAGCAGCCGCAACAACCACAGCAGTAGCAGCAGCAGTACGGACAGAGGTGGAGCGGCAAGAGGACCCAGACCCCAGCGGCGCGCAAACAGCGTGGCGAGGAGGCCATCCGTCCAAGCCTCGAGAAGGTCATCGAGGGCATCACCATCGCGAGGGCGGCGGAGGCGGTGGTGCACGCCACCTTCCAGGCCCCGCTGAATGGCAAGCACCTCGAGCTGCAACCCGACGAGGTGAAGCAACGGCTGGAGTCCCTCGTCCTGTACGTGATCGCGGCCAGGGGTGCAGGAGAGAACCCAGAGGGGATCGTGGAGGAGATCAGGGTCCTCAGGTTCGTTCAACAATCACTGCAGCCAGCATACAGACGGACCAAGCACATCCACAAGCAGCTGGAGTACTTGGATCGGCAGATCTACAACGCCAAGAACGAGCGCGACCGCTGGCAGAAGAACCTTGGAGAAGCTCACCAACAAGCGCAAGAGCATACTGGATGTCCGCGACGAGTTCGGCGGCGCCTCAGACGAAGATGCAGCAGATGCCGAGGACGACGACGACAACGCCAGCGGTCACCGTGAGGCAAGCAGAGCTCGCGTCCGATCAACCCGCCCTGCAAGACTCGCGCAAATCCTTCCGCGTGCAGCCCCAGAGCCCATTTCCGCATCATCCTGAGCCGCGGGCGACGGAATTGACGACATCACGAGGGACCTCGCCAAGGCGGTGCAGGACCAGGCAACATCCAACGCCGACTTCCAGAAAGCGATCCTGGCGATCAGCCAGACCGGCATGGGGGCCGCCGCCAAGCCCCAAGGCGGCGAGGACAAGAACAGAGAAGAGCTGCGGGCGGCGCGGCTCGCAACATAGACTCGGAGAAAGGAGCGGAAGGCCGCGGAGACAGAGACCACGAGCAAAACGTTACAGGAGGAAAAGGAGGAGGAGTTAAGAGCGGAATTCCAGCGGAAGTACGACACCCAGAGGAGGCGGTCCCAAGAAGAACAGGCGCAATTCAGAGCGCACTAAGAGGAGATGAGAGAGCAGGCCATGAAGACGAACCAGGAAGTGCGTGACGAACAAGGCCGCGTCGCCAACTATCTGCGCATGCAGGCACAAGCCAGAGGAGTCGAGGCGCAGCAGATGGAGATGATGCAGCGTGCGCGGCAAGAAGTACTGCAGCAAGAGGTCATGCACGCCAGGAAGGTTGCCAGGAAGCTGGAGGATACGCAAGCGCAGCACAGGAAGCGCGCAGAAGAGAACCATGAGGCCACAGTCAACCACCTAGAGGAGCAGGGGGCCGCGCAGCAGCTATCAGTCTAGCAACGCTTTGAGCGCACTTTACAACAGCGACGATGTGAGGATCAGCGCCGCGTGGACCACTTCCAGCAGCAGCGTGAGCAAGAGATGAAGTACATCCTGGAACAGAAATAATACCATAGGCAGAGTGCCGCAAGATGGAGATGAGAGCGGAGGATGCCGAAAGCAAGGCTCGACAGGTCGAATCCGCGCGCCACTCTGCTCTGGAAATGGAACTGCTGAGAGAGCTGGAGTCCGCGATCAACGCAGAGGACGCCCAACCGCGAGCGCCGTGGCTGAAAGGAAGACTGTGCACATGCAGTAGCGAAGACCTCGTGAGCAACATCACAACCCATTTTCCCACCACTGCGCAATTCATAACGCGCTGATCGACCCACATGACGACCCTGCCCGCGGCCCAGAAACCGTGGAAACTAAATGCAACACTGTGTGGTAAACTCGGTGCCAAATGGCAATGCACATTTCGTTCCTTGTGCCGCAACGGGGAATCATCTCCCCGGGTAAAGCAATCCGACGTGGAAGAGATGTAGTTTGAGGCCCCCCGCCGCTCTGGAAGAGCGACGCAGAGCGAGAGGCGTATGTGAGGGGGAGCCAGACAAGCACAACACAGCTGGCACACAACTTTGATGTTGCTTGCCACTTCACCGCATCGCCCGATCCCCCCCTCAGAATATACCGTTCAATACAGCCGCAGTCCCTGGGTGGCGACAGCAGGAAGGGAAAAAGGCGGAGAAAGGAGTGGGTGGAAAAACCCAGGGATGGAAGGAGTGAGGGAGGGAAGGAATGCGGAGTGAATGGGGGGAGGGAAACGGAGCGAAGGGCGAGGGAAGGGATGGGATGCCGGACGGAGGGCGGCAGGATAGGAGAGGAAGGTGGACACTGGAGGGAGGGAGACGTGGTATATTGAATGGGCGGAGGGAGGAGTGAAGGGAGGCACGGACCGCGAAATGAATCCCGCTCGAGTCCGCGGGGCGAGCGCGGCGGGCAAGCGGGCGAGCGCAGGAGGAGAAGGGGGGGCGGCTAATGTGGAGAGGCGAACAGGGAGGGATGGGAGGGAGGAGTGCAGTCGAGTTGGATTGGAGAAGACACGAGACCCTTGCGAGGGCTACATTGCCGTAGGAATGTAGAAGGCATGTGTCGCGAACCACAGGCCGCAAGGGCACCCTTGACTTGGCAGGGTCGGCCTTCTAATCAAAATCGACTTTGCACTTATCATGCTGCCAGAGGGGAGCGAAAGGGGCCTTTCTGGTCACGGCGAGCCTCGGCCACGAAGGGGTTCCTCGACTTGGGCCCAAGGAGCGGCCCGAAAACGAGAGCCACTCCTGAACCGAGAGTGGTTCTTACGTCACTGGCCTGACTGTGGAGTCAGCTGGGGCAGTCGGATAAAAACGGAAACCGACGAATCTGCGACGGCGATCCTGGCCCTGTAGAATAATAACACCTGAAGCACGAACCGGCTTTGGCGGCCCAACCAGACGAGGGTCTTCGCCACGCGTTATCCGAGCGCCCTTCAAGTGTGGAGGCGGAGGGGGAAGTAGGGATGACGAGAGGGAGTAGGGATGATCAGTAGGGCGTGGAGGGAGTGAATCAATTGCAGAGTCATGGCTCATGTAAGCGTCGGCGCCCTCCGTGGAAATCTGTGGGAACGATGGCGAAGACGAGCCCTTGGCGACAGAGGAAGGAAACCGTATTCAGGGGGATGAGGAGGAGGATGTCGGTCAGGAGTCGAAGCCAGGTTCGTACCAAAGCAGCGGGCACTATCTAATTA